GGCCATGGGACAGGAGGTCAGGGAGGAAGCCTCATGTGCTGGTGTTAGCAATATTTGTAGGACATAAATTTGTGCTGCATTCCCTCATGTCCTTTATCTGCCCATTGCTTGAGCACAGGTGTCATAGACATTGCGAGGGATGAGGGTCAAACAGAAGTTCTTAAACACTAAATTTAGGTTTGAAGAGGCCAGAGAGGCCAGATAGCAACAGTGTTGCTCTGACACAAGCAAAGCCTTTGGAGCGGAACATCCTCTGCTCAGATGAGGACACAGCTAGCCATTCTCACTGAGTGGTCCCTGAAGGTTCTGGATCTTTTAGGTACCTCAGCGCAGACTGGTCACCTATTGCTCATGACACACTGTTAATTATAACTGGGTTTAGATGATCATGCAGCTTCTGACTCAGAATTTTACAGCTCTAATCGACTCCATTGCTCTCCCTGGCAGTTACTCTCATTTCTAAGATGGCAGAAAACACCTACATGGTGCTTCTGATCACCCTGCATAAACAGCAGGCAAAGCTGAACCCGTGAAGAAACCAGACATTCAATTCCCCCATAGCAGGTAGAGTCCCAGGGTTTTGTTTAAATGTTCTCGGTTGCAGTAACCCAGAGAGTACTGTTATGGGGCAGGCGAGAAGAGTGCTAGGCTTCCCTAGGGAGGGCCTCCATGGATTGAGAGATGACAGCTCTGGCTCCCATTTGGGACAATGCGCATCCGTGCTAGCACCCTCTGGAGTGGGAGTAGAGGATGTCACACGGCACCCTCCACCATGGGGTTGAAGACATGACTGTCAGCTGTTGGCTGAGCTGTATGAGGGGAGCCAAATTTGGGCCAAAGGCAACAGGCTCTCCAGCCCCTAAATGACATGGCTGTATTCAAGGCTTAGAATAGTCTCTTCCTCTCCCTGCCCCTGAAAAATTTTTTTTAATAGATTTTATTTTTTAGAGCAGTTTTAGGTTCACAGCAAAACTGAGCTGAAGGCACAGAGATTTCCCATTTATCCCCTGCCCCGCACATGCAGAGCCTCTCTCACATTTCAACATCCCCACTAGAGTGGCACATTTGTCATGACTGATGAAACTGCACTGATAGTTCATTATCACCCAAAGCCCACAGTGTACATTAGGCTTCACTCTTGGTGTTGTCCATTCTGTGGATTTGGACAAATGCACAATGACAGAGTAGTTTCACTCCCTAAAAATCCTCTATGCTCCACCTATTCATTCCTCCCTTTCCGCTAACCCCTGGCAACCACTGGTCCTTTTGCTGTCTCCAGAGTTTTGCCTTTTCTAGAATGTCATATAGTTGGAATCATACAGTATGCAGCCTTTGAAGATTGGCTTCTTTCACTTAGTGATATGCACTGAAGGTTCCTCCATGTCTTTTCACAGCTTGATAGTTCATTTCTTTTTAATGCCAAATAATATTCCATTGTTTGGATGTACCAGTTTACCCATTCATCTACTGAAGGACATCCTGGTTGCTTCCAAATTTTGGCAAATAAGAATAAAGCTGCTATCAACATTTGTGTGCAGATTTTTGTGTGGACGTAAATTTTCAACTCCTTTGTGTAAATACCAAGGAATGTGATTGTTGAATCATATGGTAAAATATGTTTAGTTTTAGGAGAAACTGCCAAACTATTTTCCAAAGTGGCTGTAACCATTTTGCATTCTCACCAGCAATTCAGGAAAGGTCCCTGTTGCTCCACAATCTCACCGGCAGTCAATGTTGTCAGAGTTTGGGATTTTGGCCATTCTAAGAGGGGTGGTGTGGTATCACATTGTTATTTTAATTTACACTTCCCTAAGGACATGATGTGGAGCATTTTTTCATATGCTTATTTGCCATCTGTATATCTTTCTTCGGTGAAGTGTCTGTTAAGATCTTTGGCCCATTCTTAACTGGGTTGTTCATTTTCTCATTGTTGAGTTTTAAGAGTTCCTTGTATATTTTGTCTAACAGTCCTTTATCAGATATGTCTTTTGCAAAGACTTTCTCCCAGTCTATGGCTTGTCTTTTCAGTCTCTTGACAGTGTCTTTTGCAGAGCAGAAATTTTTAATTTTAATTAAGTGCAGCTTATCAGTTCTTTCTTTCACAGATCATGCATTTGGTATAGTATCTAAAAAGTCATTGCCAAACCAAGGGCATCTAGATTTTCTCCAATGTTATCTTCTAGGAGTTTTATAGTTTTGCATTTGACATTTAGGTCTATGGTCCATTTTGAGTTAATTTTCATCTATTCCCTTTGGAGAGGTTAGTTACTGGGATAGACACGTTGGAAATACGAGAGGAACTCTCAGTAATACTTGGAAAATACCAGAAGTCCTAGGAACTTTTGGATTGTCCTGGAGGACTTCTTTTCCAGAACTGCCAATACCTTTGTGGGCATCATGTAGGCACTTTGCTAGAAGTGGAGTCCAGGGATTCTAAAACATACCCTTCTTGAGGCTGCCATGAAGAGTGCTGTTATAAGTGATCCAGGACCATGTGTGTAAGGTGGGGGAGTATTGGGTCTGTACAAGGTTGAGTTGGGGAAACGAATGATGATTCCATTGTGTGACGACCTTTCTGTTCAGAGTTCTGTGCTTTCATTAAAGTAGCAGATGGCTGAGGCACTTAAAGGCCAAATAACATTACGGTTTATTGGACCTGGCAGAGGTATATCTGGAAGTCTATCATCCACATATCACATATGCTGCCAGGTATAGATGAGGTGTCCTAATCCTGTGCATCAGAGCACAGCTATGGAAGACCTTAGGTCTGTAGGAACCTTAGATGATAGCTATATTGAAGTTGTAGCAGTCCTGGCAGAAGTGGCTCCAAAGGAAAGAGGGAGAGTCTAAGAAGCTCCTGACACAAGTTAATGTTTCTATTTGTTGACAGCCTTGGTTTCAAACTTGAAAAGAAAGTATACTCTAATAGCTGGGTGGACTTATAAGCTTTTGGCCCCAGGCCAATTATGCATTTGGAATGTGGGCACAGTCCCTCTGTCTCTGTGTCTGAATACACTCCTGACAGATGATATATTTTGGGTAATGGTGTGATGGGGAGGTGGTGGGTATAGTGGTGGTGCCACAAGGTCATCCAGCAGAAGTGACATGAAGTAGTCAATGACAGTTTTCAGATCTCTGGCTAGGAGAAAAACAGAACCCAGGAGAACACTGGCTTTTAAAAAGATCCACCACCACCTTTAGCATTGCCAGATGACATTCATCCTTCCCTGTGGCCAAGGCCCTATCATGGTAAGAACATGGGGTCGGGTTCCTGGGACCTTAGGGTTGGAGCATCTTCAGGTGAGCAGCACATGGACCCCTAGTGGTCTGCCCTGCCAGGGTTTAGACAGCATGTCCACAAAAGGGCCAACCCATTCTAGGGAACAGCAGGAAGTGAGGGTTCAGGTAGCCAGGAGCATGGGTTTCTCAAGCCCTAGTTTTGAAGGAATGGTAGGGAAGACATGTCAGTGATAACTAGGAGAAGGAGAATGCTGTCCTGCAAATGTTCTCAATGCTTATGCCAAGATCTGTAGGTTCCTAAAGGTCAGGGGCTCAGAACACTGTCTTTCCAGGGCCTCTCCAGGATCCCTGCGCTGGTGATTTTCTCAAACCTATAGGTTAGCACAGAAAAACTTCTATCTGGAGCAGGCAGCAGGGTGAATTTCCTCAGGAGTCAAGAGAGGTGGTAGCCTGAACCACAAGGGCCTACCAGGACATGCTTCTTGCAAGGGCAGTGCTCAGAGCTTGGCTTTTCCTTCTGCTAGCTGTATGGGCACGCAGGCATGCTGGCAGTGGGAGCTACCAACCAGATTAGGCAGTGGAGGGAGACGGGGCAACTGTATCCTTTCCCTAGGTGATGACATTTGGAAGGTCCCAGAATGGAGCAGGTTTGGCACCAGGTAAAAGGTTTCCAGCCCCCTAATACCACAGTATGTGTGGGTGGGGAGTGAGGATATACCTCTCACCTTAGTGCATCAAAGAGCAAATACCAGAAGTCACATCCTGGGGCATGGGAGGAGGGAAGGTTCAAGCTAGTGCAGGTAGTAATCCCAAAGTGGACCACTGGATTCTAGGAAGCTAGGGAGGAAGCACAAGTCATGACACGGCCAAAGAAGTAAGATGAGCCAAATAGGGAGACGAACAGTGTCAAAAGGAGGAGAGAGAAACCTGGAAGAATTCACAGGCTCCAGTGAGGGGAGCGGAAATAACTCATATATGGTCTTTAATTCACACTGTCCCCAGGGCCTAGGGCAGTCCAGGTAGATAACTGGTGTTCATTAAATACTTGTTAAAGGACGTCTATAGAGATGCACTGACTTAGCAGGAGTGGGATCAGGAATAGGAGGAGAAGCCCAGGCTCCCCCTCAGCTCCCTTTGCTTTTCCATTTCTGAGACTCTAGGTTACCCTGTAAAGGGCAGGTCAGGAGCAGATTAGCCCCCACCCTCTAGAACAGGGGTCGAAACTTTTTTTTAAAAGGCCAATAGAAAATGTGCATTCCATCCTGTGGTAGTGTGACAGCGCCAGAGACATTATATAAATGAACGGGTGTGACTGTGTTGCAATAAAACTTTATAAAAACTGTGGCTGGCGTGGGCTGTTTGCTGAGTACTGGCTTGGAGCAACAATTTGAAAGCAGTTATTTTTCCTCATTTCTTTCTGAAGCTGACTACTTGTCTGAGTTACTCCTGTGGCAGGGCCAGTCCGAAGGCCTGAGAGGAATACCTGTGTCTTGCCTTGGCATCTCTTCAGTTTGGTTCCTCTTGAACACATAAGGGCATAACAGGAAAACACACAATAACAGAGGACAATCACTTTTCCAGGGAAAACCTTTTCTTTTTTCTTAAGACCTTATTAGATGTGAGAAAAGATGTTTAGAGAAGGTTGCCATTCCTCATGGTTTTTCTTTTTTTAAGAAAAGAGAAACAAACAAACAAAAAACAGAAAGAAGACTAAATAGAAGCACATTTTTCAATCCAAGACACTAGAGACTGATTTTTACCTTCTGAACCAAGTAGACACTTGTAGCTCTCTCAGCAGCCACTTTATCCAAATCAGATCCCTCCGGAACAAAGTAACTCACGTCAGCGATGTGAACTCCCACTTCAAAGTTGCCTGTGAATGCACAAGGAGGTTGATGAGCCTGGTAAGCACAGCAAGGCAATCTCTCCCAGAATCCTTCCTGAGGATGCAGGTCACTCCCAGAGGCCACAGGACTTGAAGCCACTAATCTCAGTCGCTGGGCACCCTACCTACCCCCTGTGACTGGCACTATCGTTACTTTCCGCATTGTATACCAACAACTGAGATTTTTATCCTAAATAAACAACCATTTTTATAAGATGTCTCCCATTTCTAAAGGCTTCTTGTCTTTGAGTAAACATCAGTAGATGTGCAGAAGAAGACTCATTTTGGATGATGAACAAACCCTTTCAAGTCACTAGAAGTGAGTTAATCCCAAATCCTGCAGATCCTACCTCTGAAACTCTGCCCTTCCTGTCCATTCTGGCCACAGCCTTTATTCAGCACCACAGCTGGGCTCCTTACCTTTATTCTGTCCTCTCTTACCCAGCCCTCCACAGTGTTGCTAGTAATCTTCTCAACCATGGATCTGGTGATGTGTGTTATTCATGTCCTTGCATGGTCTCATCCCAATCTACCCACCAGCCTTATGGCTGCATCCTCCGCATGCTCTGTGTGCAACTGTCATGGGAAACCTCTTTCTATTCCCAGAGTGTATCTTACCTCATCCCATTCAGAGGCTTGCTTGGCTCATGCTTTTCTTACACATGGGATAATCTCAACAGGATCTGCCTATCAAAATCCTCCTTACCTTATAAGGGTCCACCGAAAGAGAATCCCAGAACAAGAAGAGATTCTCTGCCCTCTGTTTCCTCCCCTTCACTCTTAAAGCACCTAATCCGTAACTGAAAATGCGTACTATGGTCTTCTCTTCAGAGCTCTCATCACTACTAGGATACTACAGCATATCTTCATTGGCTTATGTGTTACTGTCTGCCTCACTCCCTACAGTGTATGCTCCAGCATGGCAGAGCCTTCTGTGTAAAGTTCACTATCATAGACCCAGTGCCTAGAAGAATGCCTGACACACAGTCGGCATTCAAAAAATACTTGTTGAATGAATGAATCAATAATTGGTTTCTTTGCCTGTTGTCTTTTCCCTTGTGGTAAAAGACCTACTTTTTTCCCTTTTAGAATTGCCCTTTTCCTTCCTGGTGGAGCTGTTTTTACCAGGCCCTGCCTTCCCTACCAGTTCTGGTAGAGAGATGGTCAGATGATGCAGGCTGGTAGAATTGCACCTTAAGTGGGGCTGGGGGACTAGTTAGGTTATAAACTTAAGATTTGCTCTTGAACATCCATAAATCATCTATCAAATATAGTACATGTGATTATACACATATATATGAAAATGTACAAAATGACCAAAATATAAAAAAGAGCACACATGTAAAATAAGTATATCAAGAGAGCATCATGGGCAGACAGCAGCACACTGATGATATAAGCACAAAGGAGAATTTGCTTAAATTTAAATATATGCTTGATGTAATTCCACTATACTCCATCCCTATTCATAACCACTGGTCTAGGCATAGGCATGTGACCCAAGCAGATTTATTCTGAGTCTGTTTTCAGGGATTGATATGGACTTCAGGAAAGAGGGTCTCTCCCCCAGCCACGACCCTAGACAGTAAGGACCACTGTAAGTCTGGAGCTGGCAAGAAACATCTTTGCCACATAACCATGCCAATAGAAATAACAGGTCTAAGAAACAAAGGGGGACTCACAATGACCTCATTTGAACTTGAAACTAGACTACTTGTGGACTTGGCAGTTCATGAGTCAATCAATTCCCTTTCGGTTCTGACTCACTGAAAGAATCCTGACTGATACCCAAGTTGACTCAGAAGAGTTCACTAACATACATACCCCCACTTGCTCCTCTGGTTACCTGGATAATTAGTCCTAAAGCATCACATATTTTATCTGCAAATTTTGTAACTATTTATTGGCCTCCTATTCCTTCTTCACTGGGGGATGATTCTCCCCTCAGTTTTTAAAATGGAAAAATGTGTCTACATGGGGTGATTAAAATAAAGAGTTCAGAGAAGGAAAAGAATTTAAGATTCCCCGTTTATCATCTGTCTCACAGTCAGAGACCATCCTCCTACAGGGCATTCATTGGGTTTTTCCACCCAGTCGTGTAACATTAATATGTTAGAGAAAACCTAAATCCATCTAAGAGATCCTGGCTGCTATGGGATAATATAATAGACCTATTTCCCACAGAGGAGAGGGCTGTCTGGAAAGCTGAGAGAAACCAGTGTGGCTCAAAGTTCAGCTGCCTCATTCTGAGAGCCGCACAGCTGTGTTGTGGGGTCACCGGGAGCAGTGAAACCTGCCCTGCGATGATCGAGGAACTCAACCCAAAGAGAATGTGGCCAAGAGCCTCAGACGGCTCAACTTCCAATTTTGATATTACAAGTATCTAAAACCAACACTTAGAGAAGGTAAAATAAAGTGTCTTCTTTTGAAGTCAAAATTATAACATATTGACCTAACAGGTAAATATTGACTAAAGGAAAAGAGAGAGGATTATTACATCATGATACAAACCATAATTTTAAATTCGGTCTGTGTGTTGTTACTAGACATGAACTTTCTGTCCTTAGTCAAAATTGACAAACTGACAAAGAGTTCATTACAGGAGATAAAACATGAAGGAGGCCAATCAAAACATATTTGAGAGGTTTAAATTTCACTCCAAATTCCCAGCAGAGCCTCTAAAACCAGCAAAGAGAAGCTCTCTTATTCTCTCCTTTGGACCTTTTTAATGGAAACCCTAAGTAAATACTGTATTACATATATTTACATAATATGAACTTGCAGAACTCTTGAGGTAGTGGCACTGAGTTTTTATTCTATGAAAGAGAAAATATAAATCCAAAGGGTTATGTAGTATATGCTGCCAAAACATTTAGGACTAATTTGATGTTTTTTTAAAATACTGTCTTCCATACAAAAGCATTCTTTAAAAATTTTTTTTTTTTACATTAAACATTTTTCATCTACTGGAGCTAAGATGAGGCCTGTGAGTTTTCAAGAGCTGTGGAAACAGATGGAGGAAGCATGCCCAAGGCGGCCATGTCTGGCTCACTTTGCACAGGGCCCACAAACATAAATGAATACTCCTTTGAATGAACCTGAGAGGACATCAGAACTGCTTCATCCAATTAAAACACGAAAAGAACATAAAGCAGAGGCTTAACAAGCATCTCTTCTAAGCCAGCCTCCCAGCCAGTTCAGCCACTTCGCAATAATGTCCCTGCAAGGTAGTCCCTGACAGATCCTCAAGGGTAGGAGCTCTTATCTTGAAGCTACTCGCTCTACCTCTGAAGAGCTCTGATTGGGAGACAGTGCCTCCTTACATGGATCCATGATATATGGAAATGGAGCCACTAATTTATTCCAGCACTGGGCATACCTAAGAGGCAACCCCTCTGTTTAAGGAGCTCACAGTCTAATGGGGTTGGCAGATATACCAATGTGGTGACAATACATTACCAGTGCTATGACAGAGGAAGGTTACAAAACCTCACTGGATGGGAGTGAGTCGAGCTGAAATCTGTTTTTACTTCAGTGAGAACATGTGAAAGTGTTTTGTAATCCATAACAACTACATGAATGTAATGTTGACAATGGTAACCATAAAAACGATAATAAGGATAAGAAGTGACCATTTATTTAATGTCTCCTTTGTGTCAGGGGCTCCACACACACTAATGCAGCTTTGACAACAGCCATGTAAACCCTGTTTCACAGGTGAATCATCTGAGGTTCAGAGAGGTTCCAAGTCACTCGTCCAAGGTTATCTGGCTAGTAAGTAATAAACCCTGGATTCAGAATCAGGTCGGATTCAGAGCCTTTGCTCCTTTTATTACCACCCCTCTGACATTGTTACCGTAACTCCAGGACAAGATGATACAACCCAATTTTTTGTCTCAAAAGGCCACAGCTAGAAATCCCTCCCTGTATCTTATGATTCAATAGAAGCCACATTCTTGGCTGTGGATTCAGAAGTCCTCTCAGGGACTCGTCCCAGCCTTGCTCACAGCCACTTCCCTGTCCCTGCGGCTCTTTTGGTTCCCACTGCCAATCTCTTAGCCGCTTGTAGCACGGCCTGATTACAGAACAACCACTAAGCCACTAACCACAACTCTAGTTCTACTTAATTACAAGTGCTTAGGATCTAGCAATTTCTTTCTAGATTTCTAGCTCACAGTCATCCTTACCTGGCAGGGTGACCGCCCTAAGTACTCAAAAGGGCTGTGCTTACTACAGGTGGGAACTATCAGGGTTCCCTTACCAGGAGTGAGACCAGCGCCTTCCAGACTTGGGTCACTTGAGTTCACCTTTACTCACCGCTGAGACTGGAGAGTGGTGACAGAAGCTCATCTTGACCCGTAGGACACTCCTTTTAATCCAGAATGTAGGGGAACAATGCTGCTAACCATGTCTTACCAGCAAAAACTAACCGCTCTCATCCAGGTCATTAACGGTCTCTGTGTGGCTAAATCCAAACCTTTTTAGGCTTGACTTGGCCTGATCTGATAGGGTATCCGAAGCTTGGTGATTTCTCCCTTCTTGAGACACTCTTCCTTTAGCTCTGGGCCCCACTCTGGGTGTCTGGCACTGTGGCTGCTCCTTCTCAGGCTCCTCTTCTTTCCTTTGTCCTTTACATGTCTGCGTACCTCCGCGTGCTGTCCCAGGCTGCCTTCTCTTCCAATTCTACCCTCTGTCCCTGGACTGGCTCACCTACTCCCAGGCGTTCAAGCATTATCTCTGTGCTTTGGTGTCCTCATTCTGTGCCACCAGCCCAGACTTCCCTGAGCTCCAGACTGATATGCACAAAGGTCTACTAGGAATTGCCCCTTAGCTGTTCCCCAGGCATCACACACACCTCCAAAACCCCCCTCCCCCCTCTCACCCCCACAAAACCATTTCTCTTGCTGTGTTCTCCATCCCAGGAAGTGGAATCACCTCCACTAAACCAGAAAGGGCATTTCCACTGCCTAAACCTAAAAGAAACCTAG